CACGTGGTTTCCCCTTGGGCCCTCTCTTCAGAGACCCCAGCCGCTTCCTCCGCGATTGTGGACTTTCAAAGGATTAGCCTCGTCGAAGGTCGCGGCGAGCGATGGACACAAAGGACGGTTCTCTATGGGGCTGACGGCGAGTGTAGCAGCGGAGGGGGACAGGGTTTGTTGACTTCCGCGTATCCCCCAGAGACGCCGTCATTTTAGTTCCCGTGGCCGCCACCGGCGGCTGCAGATCGGCAAATAATTCGTTTTTTGCCTCGCGATTACGCAGCATAATAGCCGTTTTTTGGGGAAAGGTGAAGCGTTTTTGGTCACTTGGGCTTGTATGAACAGTATAAAAAATGCAAACTGGCAATTCTTTCAACATTAAAACCGTTGCACTGCCCCTTTAATAATCATCGCTTTGCTGTATTTCTACGCATGACAAACGATAAAACACAACCTTTAGCAAGAAGAAACGGCGACAAAAACATAAAACATTTAATAAAGAATGTCAAGCTCAGCCTGAAACGGGCTTGCGTCGTCGAAATCTATGCTTCTGAGCGTGCGTCCGTAGCAGACGACGCACGGCGGTATCCCCGCTTTCGCGCGTTTCCAATTTCGGCCGCACGGTGGCGGCACGGTTCGATCTCGAGGCGAATAGATAAAAAATGCGGAGCCGCCCTCAGCGCGAGGCTTGACGAGATTGCATTTTGGGGCACGCCGATTTTCTCGGGGCAGCGAGTGCATGCACGCGTGCGCTGCCGCCGCTGAAACGAACTCGGAGAGTGCAACTACTCGTAGAGTGCCTGCCGAAACGAACTTTTTTTACGCCGCGAGTGGGCACGCGTGGACACGAGTGCCGTGAAACGTACTCGCTATTAGCTACTTCACCCGGATTTTGGGATACGGAATTTGGCTGCGAATGCGCCGTGCGTATGTGGAGCGGCAGTACGCACTCCTTCACATTCGCGTCTTTTTCGAAGAACATAAAGTTCTTGACGTCGTCCTCGACGTCGTTCTAGAGGTGGTCCTTGATGTTGTCTAAACGTCGTCCTTGATGTCGTTCTTGAAGACGTCGTGGTCTCCAGAAGTCGTCCTCGAAATCGCCCAATGTGGTCCAAAAGGTCTTTCTAGACGTCGTCTTTAACGTCGTCTTCTAGGACGTCGTCCTCAATGTCGTCCTTGAGACCTCCTTCGAGGTCGTACTATTTCAGAGGTCGTCCTAGAGGTCGTCCTAGCAAGTAGATAAACCCGCGCAGCGCATACAGCGAGCTGCAGTACGCATATACTCACGTATGCGCCGAAGCGACGAAGCAATCACTCATGGCCGCGGCGCAAGCAGATAAACCCTCGCCGGGCATACACGGAGCTGCAGTGCGCACACATCCAGATTTGCGTCCAAGCAATGAAGTATTTATCGGTTTGAGTTGAGCTCGTTGGTACATGGTCAATGATTGTGTGAACCAGCTAGAAGATTAAACGCTTAACGCAGCGAGAGGACAAGACGCACATACAAAGCTTCAATGATGGTAAGGAAACAGCTTTAACATTGAATGATTGCACAGAGACAAAAGATTGAACGATTACACAGAGACGAAACAATCACTGAATTTCGGAGTGGAGCACTGCAGTCCCGTTGAGGTCAATGATTGCATCGTAAACCATTCCTGAAACGAAGTGTTTACTCAAACTTTACGTCGTCGTATTCACAGTGAGCCGCCTGGTGAGTCTCATGAGGAATGCTATCGCAATTCATAAACAACCAGCAATAGCAGTTTCTGTTGCCATGTTTTAGTCTAGCATACTTGAATCGCAGGGAACCGTTGGCGGTGAAGGGCACTTAGTCCAGGGTACTTAGTCCAAAAAAAAAAAAAAAACAGCGGAGGCAATTTATACTTAGTCCAGCAGACTTGTTTCGCAGGCAATCATTGGCGGCGAGACACACGAAAGTCCCTCGATGCTTCTTTCTACAAGTAACAACAACCAATACGAATGGCGAAGCAGACTACGGTGGAAGAAAATGGCGTCATTCAGCTAGTTTTGTCTTTCGCAATACAGCGCCATTCGCATCCTAAAACCTGCTCCGCCACACAGTCGGCACTTCAAAGACTTTCTCTACTTGTAAGAAGCTTTTATCTAGGAAGTTTAGGTCATACTCAGTCCAGCATACGTAATCCGCAGGCAACAGTTGGTGGTGCAACATACTTAGTCCAGCATACTTAGTTCACAGGCGACAGTCGGCGCTCAACGCAGGTCCCGGACAAAAGCGTAGATACCCACGTAAACTCACGACTTTAACTAGGTGAATCACAACGCACAAAGGGATAACTGAACGGGTGTATGGCGTCAGACAGACAAAAGTCTATTGATAGAGTTATGGGTACCATAAACCTCCTCGCGATTACTTTAGACAAAACAAAAGGCTCCTTACAATCAAAGGGCACTAAGAATTCAAGGCTTTAGATGCACCCAGTGAAGACAGAGAACTTACGGAAAAACTTCTCTGTAAGGCATGCTCGTGACACACTCTACTCACGAAGGAATTTAAACTTGTTTTGATCACGCTTATAAGCACGAAGTCACAAGAGTGCCAAGTTCGTAGCGCCCCTAAAACCTCCCAAAAGTAGGGTGCCTTCATGTGCGCTTCGCATAGGGTGATGCCAACTGCCTGTTTCTCTTTCCCACACCCTCGTCCACCGCCATTTTGTTCCTCTCATTGTTTCCCCGTGCGCCGGAAAGTGGCCTTTGTGTCCATCGGTAATCCCATCCGAGGGGGAAAATGCTAATCCTCCCTCCGTGGGTTCCACAACGCTGCTGCGAACTTCTGAGATAAGGTGCTTGTTTCCGGAAGGGTTATAAGCCCCACGGATTATCGCCGAGGAACAAAATGGCTGCTGGTTTGTCGGCGAGTGGTATTACAAAGAATGGCATCACCCTAGCAAAGCGCACATGAAGGCTCCCTACCCAAAAGCTCCCAGCTACGAAGCGTGTCAAATAACAACGCACGCATAATAGAACCACGACACAATTTTTGTTTCCCGGGTTTATCGGAACGGCCGAGGCACGTTTATTGAATCATCACCCACCTGAGGCGAGCGGGGCACAGACGGAGCATTAGCGTGAGCTATCTGCTGTATTTCCTGTTCAGTGAGTGAGAACTCGTGTTCCAAACGGACACTCAGCCAGCACTCATGTAAAGGTCTTCCGTTACAGGTGTGTGTGACACAAGGTGTCCAGAAACATGTCATATAGGTCAGACCTTATAAAACGTTATATGATGAAAGATCCGAAGGTTCGCTAATTGTTAGCATAATTTTGTTAGGCGGATATTATTAGCGACCAGCAAATAAATTTAAGTTGCCAACCATGTTGTCTTGATTAAAACTTAATTTTGTTTTTATTGTTTTAATGGTGGATCTTTGTAAACACCTTTTTAAATCGTTTTTCAGATTCCTACTGATTTGTTCCCAGTTAAAGCAAGCCGTGGGTTACTCGAAATTTCTTTTTTCTGCAAACATCTGTAACGAACAAGTCTGACCGTGCATGTATATCGCTCTGCTGTCAATCAATTTGCAGCTCTAGCCGATAAGAACGCAGAAGAACGAAGCAATAAATGTGAGCAGAATAAGTGGCTTATTCTGCACAACGATGTCGCCTATCCTAAACGGGGGGTAGAAGCTGAGCTAGTTGGTGGTACATATTACAACGGTTAAACCAGCTGAATTAGGAAATTAGGGAGAAAGGAGTATCACCAGCGATCACCTGTCTTTACTCCTTTCTCCCTAATTTCGTAGTTCAGCTGGTTTAACCGTTGTAATATCCTAAACGGCGTTCCAAAACATATAAGTGCTCCAAATTAAAAAAAATAAAAAATAACTGAAGAGTTTAATATTACTTTGCATAAATTATCGTGAACTCTGAATAGAATGTTCTCTCTTGTATGACAGGTGTGTACCTCTCGTAAAAGCCTAACCAAATTTGCGACTAACTCATACTTTTTCGGCTGGGCTCAGACTTTTCCTGACTCACAATGTCGTACGACATTTAGTGTCTAGAAATTATATCCATAACGGTTTCTCACTCACTCATGACGGTTTTTCACTCACTCATGACACCTCCATACATTGAGTGATCATGAATAAGTTACCGTCCAATCTTCTACCTCTTCGAAACCTGTCCAGTAGCTCACTTGAAATTCTATCTGCTCATTCTTCGAGCTTTCGTTTTACTAGCTGCCTCTCTAGTATGTGTAGAGCCAAACTTACTGCTATTCGGTGGTATGATGTTATGCTGTCTTTATTTCCCTTGCTTTATATGGTAATCTCATTCTGCATAGTTTCCAAATCATTGGGTACCTCTCCCCTATTATGTTTTGATCACTTGCCTGTCTTAACTTTAATGAGCTTTTTTTCTTTCTTCTTACTTCTTTCTCTTTGTTCTATTCCGTCCTCGTATCCGTTTTTCCTCTAACTTAAACGCGCTGTCGCTTTTTATCCCTTTAAGTCCTGCGCCAAGAATTTCGAGTTCGACCCGCTTCCCCCGTCTGGAAACCTTGGGTGCGCCTCAGCAATGTTGAGGCGTACCCACGGTTTAAAGACTGGCGCCCAAACAAAGCGTTTTTCATCTACAGTGGCCAGACTAGCTCCCGAAGCGCGACTCCTTGCAAACCTCTATAGTAGCTCCATTGTAGTCCTCTGTGAAGTGAGATATGATGGATATTTTGGTTGCTACTGAACATTTTCCATCGCGCCTATTCTGTTCGCGTAAATAGCAAAATGATTAAAAACATATATTATTGCCCTTCTTAGTCGCTGAGTTTTATTTTTCGTATTCACAACTTGCTTTGTCTCCGGCGACGCCATAGAACAGCTGGCAAGGAACAATTGACAAAGCAGCTGCGCAAAATTCAGATCAGGGAAAGGCATGATAGGGCCCCCTGCCTCTCTGACACCGCCTTTTCGTCGTTCGTATTTAAGTCGTACCCAAGAGGCGATTCAACTAAAAGAAGCATCAGCATGTTGTCGGTTTGGGTGCTCGCGCTGTGCTCATTGATATCGGTGGGGATATCAGAAGGGAATGAATATCAGACATCAAGTAGAGAAGCGGAATTACAAGGGAGAGCTTCTACGCCGTCATCGTCTGGACCTAGCTTCAACTATTCAGAGACAAATCCTGCACTTCAGCGATATCAAGACGCGTGGAAAGTAAGCTATATTTAGCGGATATCACTAAGTATTGTTGAAATATAATAACTAGAAAAAACAGGTTCCGCCGCAAAGGAAAACGAGCTAATACCTTGTTTTTAGCGTTTAATAACCCGAGGCTTTGGGGGCATTAATCTGAAAGCTGTTTTTTACAACGCGGTTTTGAAGAAGAGGCGCTAATGACACTTCCTTACTTTCCCCGGTCTTAAAAATGGTAAGTTTATACTGAGATCCTTAATGGCCTAGTCTGTTTTTGTCTGGGAAGGGGGGGGGGGGGCGGAACTTCTTTTGCAGTTATTATATCGGAGAATATGTACAATACACCTTCAGTTTCCTACATGCTTCTTTATAAAACAAGGCCGACACGACAATCCTTTTTTTTTTAAATCTGCCTTTAGAATATTTAGCAATGTTAGTTGTCTTTTAGGCTAACCGGAATGAATTGAGCATTAAATACGCAATGAAATTTATGAAATCAAATAGGATTCCCAGAGAAAAATAGCTATGTATTGCTAAACACTCAAATTAAGGCACTTACTCAGGGATCGAAAAACCAAAAAAATCTTCTGGCTTGTTTTAATGGCTAGGCATAATGTATCTACCCCTAGGACAATTATAACGAAGGCAGACATAAAGCTGAATGTTGTATTCGTTGGCCCCACCAAAAAGAGCTTTTTACTAGCTTTTTATGGGATATTTTACAGGCAAACTTCTTCATATACTACAGTTCTAGAGCCGCCCTGACATGAATGCAACTCAGTCTCATCAAATTCAGCCAATGCATTTAATGCGAAAAGATTGTCATAGTGCAGGCGACCTGATGTAAGTTGTTCATGAAGGTAAACTTGAGAATGGGATAGCAAGAAATAAAAATAAAAACGCGAAAAAAGACAGAAAAACAACAACAAAAAAACGAAAAACAGACAACGTGCTACTCGGCTGCGCTTGGGTGAATAACATAATATTGTAGGAAAGCGCATCGCCGCTATATGTAGGTGACTTGAGATGGCAAGCGCGCATTCATTCCGCTTATGTAAACAGAGGTAGCACCGCATCCTATAAAGAGGAGGATTACGGGAAGGCGTTCGCTCCGGCATGTACTCTGCTTTTGTTGGGGGAACGGGTGAACAGCTGAGAACTTGGCGGCAGCGTAGAACGGTCCTGCGTTCTCGCGTTCAATTTCTTTCCAAGAGTAGAAGGAAGGTCGGGCTGCTCGTTCTGCGATATACCCGTGCTCGGAGGCGTACTGGGATTTCCTCAGTTAGTAAAACAACAGGGCAAATCTAGGCCCCTATAGCTGACTGGCCTATTTGAACGTCCCGCTCTTTCAAAAGAATCAAACCACCGTGTTCTTTTTGCGCTCGATGTTTGAGATAACAAGGCTTTTTACAGTAAATCGAGCAGCTTTGAAGCAACTGACCATGATGGCCGGCGATATTGGTGCTAAACAACTGTTTTTACTGCAAAATCAAAATCGTCGGTGCGGGAAAATAATTCGCGTGTAGAAGCAACCGCGAAGATTGACTAGTTTCATTAGGGCCGTAAGGAAGAAAAGCTCCGTGACGGCATCCATTTACCCGCGAAACAAGCGTGGCTGTTTAACTAAGGCTCGGCCTCCTTCCCCCCCTCTTTCCATCGCGCTAACCAGAAAAACACGAGGTATAAAAAAAAAAAAAGAAAAAGCCGTTGCGTGTGTCTTTGCCGAAGGTGGCACGTTGTTGACTACTTGAAAAACGGCAATGAGGCACCATGGATTTTCCCCGTGCATGATTTGCACTGTCGGAATGTGCAATGCGAGCGCAACGCTGCGACCAAAGTCTACAACAAATTAACCCACTCGCTTGTCACATGGGCACACGGGACCTACAATATTTTAAACTTTTTTTATGGCTAGGTTTCAAACCGGGAACATGCCCACTTCAATATTTTTATCCTCCTACGCTTTGATATGTCTTTCTTTGCATCGTGTCGTTTTTTACAAAGCACCTGGATGTAGTAGAATGCTTGCACAAACCTCAATACACACACACAAAAAAAAAAACATGGTCACGTGGTGCAGCTTTTGCCGGAGATGCAACTTTAACTTTCAGATATGGCTGAACATAGCGCTACGTTTGCGCAGGACTTGAGACGCATTCTTGTATATGGTAAAAGGTCGCCATCATTCCAAGGATGATTAGAACAGACACGCTTAAAGGGAAGCTAAAGAAGTTCTCTGAAAAAAATATTGATTCTAGCGTAGTTTTATCTCTTGAATCTGAATATCACATTCGTTTTCCCCGATGATGTAACTAAACGTGAGCAAACACGAAAAACCTCCGACCAGTCGTTACGTCATAAAAGGATCTTTCGGCCGCCATCGCATGCCGCTCAAGGGCCGCTTTGCAGCAGCTGTAAAGGGATCGGTGGTCGAGTGGGCTAGCGCGCACCAGCTCGGAGCACGTGGAGCGAAAGATCGCGTTGCAGAACCCAGGAATCCTGGGTTCAATCCCTACCCTGCCCGTTTTGATCTGGATGAGCATCGTACGGGCGTGCGGTCTGTTATCACTACTCCGTGGTGCACGTTAAAGACCTCAGGCTAGCGGTAATACTGCACTGGCTAAATTGCTCATCTGCAGCGAGTGACTCGTTGCAACTTTGAAATGGCTGACCAACGACACGCTGTATAAATATCCACACAACCCCAATTTGCAGCAGCTGTGCATGGGCTCCGCCCTAAGTGACCTTCAGTTTATGCTTCCTCTTATTTCGTATATTTCACCTCGTCATTACCATCGCAGACCAGGTCATTGACATTTTAGATTGTATTGCGTCCTTCTCCTCAGCATTGGCCATTGTGGAGGCTCGCCGATTCAGTGGCTCGGTACCTCGGTGAGAAAAGAGAAGGTCGGCGATGGCGGCCGTAGTCTGGCACAGGTGTAAAGCGCCTCTATTCCCCCGCAGTAGCCTCAATCGTGACATTTTTTCCTTCAAGTTTTAGGAATAGCAAGAGTGCGCGTGAATAGCTTTAACAAGCGCTGAAGATGCGCAAGAGCGGAAATTCCGAAAACTTCCTTTTTGGGACGTTACGCTCCGGGAAGAAAAGCTTTCAGCGTTACTTTGAATTTTTTTTTTTTTTCAACGTCCATGCATTTATTTAGAAAAACAAATTCCATGCCCAATATTTTAGAGGTAAAATGAAGACGATTTAAGTGTGTTTTCTCAAATACAAAACCGCTTCACCTTCCCTTTTAGTCAAAGTCGTGTGAACGGGCCTTCGGGCAATTTATACGAACAATAAAAACAACCTTACCACTGAAAAAAAAAACAACAACAACATTTTTTTGACAATCAATGGCATTTTTTTTTAGAGAAGTGCTTTCTCACCCCACACCATTCGTTTAGGACCCCTTGCCACTCGTTTATGACTTTTTTTACACCTCTATGACCCGTTTTCAATCTTTTTTCGCCTCCTTTATCACTCGTAAAAAGAACAACACTTATCGCCGGAACGGCAACTGTTCTGGGCCGCATTCCAAAGCGGAGCGGCAGCTGCCCGTCTCTGGCTCCGCGCCAGCTGTGCGACGCTCCTATTGGTCCGAAGCACTGACGTCAGCACACGTCACCCTCTCTCTCTCCTTCCGCCTTTGTTGTGAGACATTGAATCGGTAAAGACGATACCTACTCCCCTCCCCCCCCCCCCCCCAACTCTCCTCGTGACGTCATGCATGGTGCTGACCAACGAATCCCCAGACTGACACCGGCGGGTTTTCGTAAAAAACGAGCAATACCTTTAGCTACGCATTAAAACAGGAACTGAGTGCTTGTCCACCTTGCCGAAATTAAAATTACTCCTTTCCTTCTGAGATAGCGCTCGGATGGTCGGTTCAAATATTTGTTTATGGTGCATTAGTTTGCACTTGCGTGAAAGCCGCATCTCTGCCTTGAAACTACAGGGATGCTTTTTTTTCCCTAGGTAATTGGTTAACCTGAAATTATGATCATTTTAATTAAACGCATTACCTGAACCTGATATAAGATTGCAGGATAGTTTGCTTCAATTTAGCTTTACTAACAAGACACCATTTCAATCTAAACACACAGCACATGTTTGTTCGTATGGTTTAAGTGATTTTACAGCGGAGCTTTTAGGGCTAGGTCCCTCTGGATCGTGTCCGATATGTCGACACAAACCTAACTGGACAGCTACCGCCATCTGTAAGCGACGGCGGCGAGCAGACAACAGTGTGGTTTCAGCCGTCGCTCGTAGATGGCGGCAACCTTTCCAGCTATAATAGAAGAACGGATAGTTGGGCGTGTTGGTGGGAATGTATCGTAGGAAACAACGCGAGAAACAGACGACGACGTAGAAGAAGCACGCAGTGTATCGAGTACAGCTCCGCTGGTCTTCCTTCTTCACGGGAGTGGAAAGGCTGAACGTTTTTATTATATAGAGATCCTTGAGCGAGAATATAATACCTCTCCTTACCTTAAGTAATTAACATTAATAAAATGTTTGTATTTGTTTCTTTACTAGTTTGTTACAAAGAATCAAAGTTTCCTAATGAAGTACAGAAACTTCAACACCAACCCGGAGGGTAAAAACACCACGAGTTGCGTTAATGCGACCATGATATATAAGAACGAGACAACTCATTATGCGCTCCATAATGTCACCTATCTCAATACGACGAGTAACATGACGTAAGTAATCTAAGCGTTTTAATGATCGTTTCACTGCAGTACAAAAATTCACTTACAACGTTGCGTCAAGAAACTCTTAGCGAACTAATGGCGGCCACGGTGGGCCTTTTTAAAAGAAATGTTTCGGGCTTTCGAAGTGCATTTTTCTTCGAATAACGAGGTGTTCTTTCGGTATTTATATTTTTCTCCCCAGTTCACCGCTTTTCAATGTCAGTTCTCGACGTCGGACAAAACGTCAGCGTTCCCGGGTTTTAGGGTAAAGAAAACAAGATAATGAAATTCCCCGAACTCAGAGAACTTGCGCGCCACCCACTTGGGAAATGTTTCGAGACTGAACAGAGAAAGAAACGAGACAGGTGTGTCGATCGGGAAAAACAGACTCGTGAACAGTTTTATGGTTTGGGTTATCGCAAAATAACACCATCAATAGCAATTTTCTTCACCGTAAGCTTGCATTCCGCTGATTCAAGGACAGCTCCAGTTCGAGGTAGTTTCACCCGATCTAAAAAATTGTAACGCCTGTCGATGTATGGGGTTTATCGATGTATGGGGTTTATCGCTATTTATCGAAAATACGCAAGCCTAGGTTATAGGGTTGCACTAATAGAACACCTATACCAAACCGTAGAGAGAGAAAAGAAAAACAAACAAAGATCTGGTAATATACAGGAGAATATTATTTAGCGTGATGAAATAGATATTCATGAGACGAAATTAAGCTAGCTTATTATCGAGGAACGATGAAAGACACGCACGTGGGTGCCTGGTTTTGTCCTGCTTTTGTCAGAAAGCTTTCCGGTCCACAATTATTAAACTGATTTTAAAATAACCGCGCTTAAGTGGTCGCCAAGTCAGCAATGATGCTTATATAGATCGATTTTCAGCAATAATATCGCCCTAATAAAAAAATGCGGTAGGCTTTTAACGCGTTCAAGCCCAATATCCAACAAGATAGTTTCTTATGTGGGCCTTGCTTTGAATCATAGGAGGAACTACGGTGTTGGGGTCGCAAGTTAGAGGAAAAAATAATTATGCAATGTATTTTATACAAAAAAAAAAAAAACTCCAATAGCAAAATCACGATTATATACAATATTTCTTGCAGGTTTGCATTCAACAAATCTTATACTGTCATCAGCTCAAAGAATTTTACCACAAGAAACGTTCTAAACGGAACAGTTGCAGGCAGTAAGTCATGATCTTCGAAACTGAAAATGTGTTTCAAGTTGGCGAAGATTTTTAATGATAGTGGTAGTTTTAAAGATAGTGGTATTAATCAAAACAGTATACGCGATCTTTCTTTTCTAAACACTATATTACTTAGGTGAGCGATTTTACATATTTACTATTTTCTAGGACAGGCGAAGAGGTCGGAAAAAACAGCTGAAATATAATAAAAGTATGCCTTATTTTAAGAAATGTATTATTAGCCGCATTGTCACACTATTTTCCTACTAGAAATATTGATTGAGGACATAACTGGAGGGGGGGGGAGTTTTGATTAAAACGCTGGAATAAAAGCATGTTGCACGCCAATACATTAATTCTTTATTTGCAATTGTTACTTTAGAATCCATGTTGGCCGGACACTTTGTACTAACTGTTTCTACACTTTTTTTTCTAGCAAACCTAAGTGAGTTGTACCCATTTGCATTCGCTGACCGAAATTGTGCTGTCATACGGAAGGATAGCTTGAGTAATGGTTAGTATCTCGTTTACGTACGTATTTTTACCGTCATGCCCAATTTTTAATGTGAACCTGAAGGACGGGCACGAAGACGAATTACTCTAAAATTTTCGTTCGAAGATGGCACTACACCGGCAAAAGTATAGGCATATATTTGTTTGTGTGAGAGCTACAGAAACACCTTTTGATGTAGTCTTTTTGTCATCGTCTTATAACTCATAGAGATACGTGGGTGTACAAAGCTGTGTCCATCGATCCGTGGGAAGCTGTTTTGCCTTATGCACAGGGAAGGAAACAGTAAAACTCTGATCGACTGTGCTTCCCACGAATATTACAACATAAACCGAAAACGTGAACACTTATATAAGATGAACACGGAAGGCAGATAGAACGGGTACGAGCGGTCGTTGTAGCATCTGACAGTAGCAGCGTCGACCAGATAATGTTTGCCGTTTTCCTGCTCGTTCATAGGAAAAAAAACTTATTTTCTTCAGTATTAATTTCTTTACATATAAAATATACACTGATAAAACTTGAGTATAAAAAATAAGTAACCTAAGGATGCCTTTGGCGAAATGTTTGAATGTGCCCCTTTGATTGGTTTATTTTTATAAATACTCTTAAGCCCGAATTAAGCCCGGAAACACTTTGTAGAATGCACTTTGTGGAAACGCAGTATGCCTTTTGTATATAAAAATGTTAGCCCTCGCATCCGCCGCCCTGTGCCTGCACACATTTCGCTTGAGTGGTTAATATGGGAAAGGTCTGTCAATGACACAGCATGAAGAAGAAAAAATAAATTATTCAAAGTAGAGGTCCCCATCCTTTGTAGAAAACAGAACTCTATACTCTGTCCAGAATTCTTCTTGCAAATTTAGAAAGAAATTAAATGAAACTTTCATTTCACATGTAAATACGACACAAGGGTGGCCTAAAAATTAACACACTTAATATAATACTGCCTTAATTGACTCAGAACAATTTATTGAATGCTTAGAGCGTGCGGTTTAGATAATGTCTGACAAACCATGAAATTTTGGACCTCCCCAATATCTACAAGAGTTTAAGTTATTAAATAAGAGGCGAGGACGAGGTCTTCCACAAAACTTATCTAGGAGTGCTCGAGCTTGGGCTGCGAGGCGCCACAATCATGTTTATTAAATATATGCGCCCATTAATGCGATTTTGAAATAAACACAATTTTTAAGAAAAATAATCTTACTTTCTTCTTAAATCAGACTCTAAATGAGCGCAAAATTTATATACTATATTGAGAGTGAGATATCTTTCGCTTTACCGTGTAGGATGCCAACCAGTTTAACAACGTAAAAATAAGTGCTCGACCTGCTTCTGTACTAATAGAGTAATAAAACCATAAATCAGCTCTCTAGTAATAATCTTTATGTATAATTGTTCCTTTTCTATGTAGCAACATTCCAGGCCTGCGAACTGTGGGCGTATGGAAGTGCCCTCAATAAGGATTTGAGCTGTTGTGACTTTGTATTCGACCTCTTGTGTACACGTGGTTATAAGCAAACAACGTATGATCCAGAACTCTGCAAGCCGAAGCACACTGTAGGGAAGGCTGCAGCTTGAGAATCACCGACGATCAATGATTCAGGTAAACGATAAATAATATAATTATTTAATCGAGCCCTCATACTAGTCTATATTTAAGGTACTCTGAAGCGTCCGCTCCCCTGTAGTAGAAAGAGGTGGGACGTGTTTCCTCTTAACTCTTAACCGTCACTGATCATAGCTCTGTGCGTCGTGAAATGTTATATATCATAGATCCTGGCATAATATTGTTATCGGTGTCAAATGCCTTCGGTGTTCATGTTGCTCAGAAAATGTACGCGTGTGTTCAAAATTGTCAATGTGTTGTATGTAAATATTTACAAGCTACACGTCCAAATTCTGTTTGATATTCAAATGATTTTTAAAACCTTTTGTTGGATGGTAATTTTTAATATGTAATCAGTGATTTGAATGAACAAACACCTTACTGCTGTAAGTGCAATTTCTTTTATATTTATATTAATACTACTTTACTTCTAACTATCTATAGACTAATTAGGATATCCACGCGATATTTAAAGAGAGAAGGCGCGGTTATGCAACTTCATTAAACGGTCTACTACTATTAAAAATTTGTTTTGTTAGATAAAAAAGAAATTGGCGCTTGATCTCTTTCGGCGGGGAAGGTTGTTTCTGCGCACGCAAGCGTTTGCAAGCGAAAAAAATATTTTCAATTTTTTAGGTTTGAATCCTAACCCCCCCCCCTGTTATTTACCAATATAAATGTAACGTTCCAAAAAAAAATAGTGCTTTTTGTAAACGATCAGAATGGGCACCGGTGCAAGCTGTACGGGTTGCTTAACAATAATATGTAAGAATCATAACTAAAGTCTAAATACTCTAAGGGCTAGTAAAAAAACATTTTTCCGTCCCGCAAAACCTTTTGAGCGACTAACGGAGTGTAGGATATTAGGTTAGGAACTTCGATTGGTCCTTACCAATATTTAGGGAAAAATAAAAATATTTCTTTTTTTTACATATCTTTGAATGTAATCTAGAAATGTGTCGTCTGCAATTGTTCGCTCAGAATCCACAATCGAATTAACATTTATGTGCTCCGAAATAAATGCAGAACGCTTTCAACCCAAGTGCGAAGAAGTCCGACGTTTTAGGCGTACTCGAGCACAAAGACTTGTATGAGTACTTATATTTTTTTTTTTTACAGAACTCCAGGCTGAAGCTCGATCAAACAAGTATACAGGCAAATCGCGTCAGTTCCCAGCCGGATTTCATTCTAAATCTGACTTCAGGATTAACGACCATGCGTGAGACGAGCGCACTCGAAATAGCAGCGTCTGCATTCGGTCGTGCCGGCCCGTTTCCCTTCTTTCCGAAATCACAAAATGCCGCGCGTACGTCGGTGAACCGCAGTCCACACGAGAGCGGCCGAGGCGAGCGGGAAAGCCCTGCCCCTTCTCTCGCCATTTCGCCACGAAGCAGCGACCGGCATGGAAAGACCATGCCAAACCGCTGCGAAGCGAGCCGGAGCCGAAGAGCGCGGATATATCAATAGGCAACTTTCCTCCTCTCCTGTCACTCTTGGAGAACCCGCCGTAGGAGCTAACAGTGCTCCTAGGAAGCGAGCGTCGACTCAATTTCCACAAAAATGTGCCAAGGAGTCATGTGACCCACCCGTCCTCGACGTTACCCGCAAACCCTCCTCGAACCCATGGCCCGACAGGGACCTCATGCCTCGCCAAACTCATCAACTCACCGACCCCGTGAACTCACGCCCCTCACCGAACACATGAAATCATCGAACTCACCCAACTCACTCCCCTCACCGAACTCACGCCCCTTACTCAACGTCAAACATATGAGTTTTCGAGGATAACAAATTGACTCACCGTCTCGTCAGGCCAGATTTGCGGTGGTGAGGGAGTGCATTTGGCTGACGTATGATCATCACACCCTTATTGGCTGCAAAATATATAGATATTTTTTTTTTACTTTTCATTTTTTTTGATTGCGCCAGTTTCGTAACGCCTCCCCTGTTGTACCTGACTGAGAGAATAGTCCAACGTAATGAAATAACTATTTGTGTGTGTGCGTGTGCGTGCCTGCGCCTGTGTGTGCGTGCATGCGTCCGTGTGTTTGCGTGCACGTGCGTGCGGGCATTTGCGTGCGCGCGCGCGTATGTGTGGGATTCAGTAAGCAGCCCCGGTCAATGGTGCAGATGTGACATAAAAATATTCCTATGTTGTTAGGGAACAAATATACGCCTCGTAGCCCGTGTGTCTAAAACGGCCCGCTTAAACAAAAGGACGAAGCAAGCTGCCTTTTTTGAAAAAGTATTTATGAGATTAGAGGTTGAACTAATGTTGTTTTCCAACTTTCAAGGTAAAAATAAAATTCACTGTATCACATGTTCCTATTCATTGTTCTTGTTTTCATTTGTTTACTTGGGACGTCGGAAAACTCGTAATATTCCTTCTGTATATTCAATTTTTTCCAGGGTCTTCGTCGGACACTTCAAACTCTTAGTTGTGATCTGGGAGCACCACATCACCGATTCACTGCGCACTAAGGAATCTTGAGCCGTCGGTTTCATGGTTCCAGGACGACAACTTTCTTTTCAAAGATCTGGCTTCGATTATATGGTCTGGACGCACCGAACAGCATAAAAAATCGCACAGCACATGAAAGTTACCAGCAGGTACTCGGCATCTGGTTGAACCAACAAGGAGTGAAAAGTTGGCAAAGTTTTACTTGTGTAATCTGCCAATAAACTTTTCAGGATAGACTGTGCGCGTACATATTTGAAGGTGAATAATAAGACTTGCATATGGTCGAAATTCGAAGACTGAAAACATCCTCAGGACGGCAGAATTCGCATGCAGTGATGAACGTTATTGACTTAGAATATGTTGTAAGAGATGACTTCGCACTTTACAGGGTAAAAACAAAAACAAAACAGAAAAACTAAATTTCGCGAGATTTTAAATCTAATGCTGTTTTTTCTTTTTATTTTCGAAATTTCGTTTTTATCTTTACTGACTTTTCTTTAGAAGTTTTTGGTATATTTTTCCTGTTCTAGCAGTACTATAAATAAGAGTTTACGATAGGTTTTCTCCAAACCTTTCTTATTCAATGGCATTAGTGGCAGTAGGCAATCCAACAATGCACCGGATCAAAGGTGCGTCAGTTTCGCGTCGGTATTAAGCTACGCAAAAAAAAACTCTATTCTTATTCTTAGGCTAAGTTCGACCGCAGCCGAAGCTACGTTCCGGTAGAAAGAGAAACAAGTGGCGCACAAAAAGGGAATAGTAACGACACTCCCTGTTCGTGTGGGTATTCTATTACAGGCTAAACAAATCACACACAGAAAAAAAAAAAAAAAGCTCAGCATAGTTCCGCATTTACAGGGCGTGATTTCTTTATCAGGAAGTTTCCGTAGATTCCGCCTCCGCTAAGCTCTCCGCAACCAAGAAGCCGCTACTGCGCCTGCGCGCCCACCACCTTGACTGTAGAGTTCCGGTCACCGTAGCGGCTTGCGGAGACAGTTGAGGAACGGCAAAGACGATCTACGAAAACTCCCTATTCAGTGCTAGCAAACGCATAACAGTGATGAGCGCCGTTATGATTCACTGTTGACACAGCCTCAGTAGGGAATTTTCGTAGACCGCGTTTTCCCCTCCGTTAAGCCCTCCGCAACGAAGAAGCCGCTACTGCGCCCGCGCGCCGATGGCCTTGACTGTAGAGTTTCGGGTATCGTATAGCGGGTTGCGGAGAGAGTTGCAGGACGCCGAAAACCATTTACGAAAACTCCCTATTGACTTCTCTTGGCCTAGCGGAGGCACAATTCGGGCTTAAAGAGATGCTGAACTGAAATCTGGATTTCACAAAGTACGGCAGCAAAAGCGCGCTACGGGATGCTACAAACATCAAAACATCACTCGTACAACGACATATGCAACGGATGACATATTAAAAAAAAAAATAAAAAAATAATAAAAAACAAGATGGTGAATTTGACAGTTATGTTCACGTCTTTTTTCTCCGAGGAGAGAGAACGGCCTCGTGCCTTCTCCACCTCGCCGCCTTGAGGGGTCGAAATGAAGACAGGAGGAAACGAGATATGTTGACGTCCCCCGCCTCGTCGACCTCGTTCAGTCTCGACATTTTTTTTTTTTTTTCAAAAATGCCGCCGTCGATTTGAGATATCGCCTTACTAGTAGTGTGGTTAGGATTGTAGCATCCCGCATACAGCGGGATGCTACAGTCCCAGCGTTGTTTACTGAAAACCTAAATTCTGGTTAACCATCCATTTAATCAAAAGTTTTCGTAGATCATTTCCGCTGTCCTGTAACGCACTCTGCAACGCGCTACGTTACCCGAAAATCTACAGTCAAGGCCATCGGCAAGCAGGCGTTGTAGTAACTTTGTTGCGGAGGGCTTAGAGGAGGGGTAAACGCGGTCTACAAAAACTCCCTAACATGAAACGGAGTAGAGGGAGGACGCCTGTTCTACTGCAGTAATGGCTTCACGTCTATACTTCATTTCGTCTAAGCCGGAGTGCCGTTAAAGCCTGCAAGACACACACACACACACGCATCTGTACAGACAAAAACCCAAACTCACAGCGCACAGGATGCGCTTGATTGGATGATCTGGCGGATGATCACGTGCAGAAAGACGAGGAAAGCCGTGAAGATGTGATTCAGGTGCTGCTTGAATCGCAGCTCGGTTCCTAATTTTCTCTGCGATCAGTCTTAAGATAAAGAGAAAGCTTGTAAAACTCGAGTTCGTCTGCTTTTTTTGCACGGGTTGTGGTGACGTCAGAACGCCGAGCTCTGACTGGCTCAGATTGAAGGATAGTGGGTAGACATCAAAGCAGAGCTGCCCCTCGTGGCCTCCCCACCATCCTTCAATCAGAGCCAATGCGAGCTCGGCGTTGTGAAGTCAGCACAACCTCGCAAAAGAAGCGGACGAGCCTGCGCTACGCATAGCATTCGGCGTGTCGCAAACAGGTATTTAATACCTCGCAGACTTGATATGTCTCGCTTGTGTTTCATGCCGCAGACCAAAAGCGACTGC